TAAAAACAGAAGGGGACATGGAGAACTTGCCTTTGGTTTATATGCCCATCCTTCAGTTTAAGATTTAATGATTCATTTGGTGTTTGTTTGCTGAAAGGAGTGGTGCCTGTGTAAACATGTGTTAAAGAAGCAGTGATGGGAATATCAAAAGATTTGCAAGTTCCTGTCAACTAGGGGAAGGGTGAAAGAAGGGGCACTTTGAAAAACTGATACATCTAGTTGCTTAGAGAACACAAGCATTTGTAAGATTTTCTGAAATATAAATTTGGTTTTCTCCCCCCCGCTCCCACTAAATTCCTACTAAAAGAAATAAAAAGGGTGTTTCCTTAATGTCATTAAGGCATACTTTATAAATAACTTAGCAGCAGAAATGAAAGAGGCATATTTGGTCTCCAGCCAATTGGCCTCAAACCCTTACTTTAGTTGAATGCATTCCAAAGTGATGAACAGAGTCACTCCCCACGTAGGTTGAAACTAGCTTTGCACAACTTATGCTCCACCAAGCTGTGTGCGAGTGGCAGTAACAGCCCATTCCCTTCCCTCTGTTCAGGAAGAGGAGTCGTGAGCCCTTCGGGGACCCCCCCCCCCCTTCTGTGATTGCTGAGCTGTGCTTTCTTTGGAAATTCATCAAATAAAGTCTCTTTTCTCTCTTATTCTCACCTCTGAACTTACATCATTGCAAGATTAATGTGTACATTTATTTCTTAATGATTCAAGATGTGTCATTATTCTGGATTATATTAGTTGCTATTCTCAGTAAGTAAGTGTATGAATTCAGTCCGATAATTTGAGACACCTCATAAATATGCACATATTCATCACACTATTTTTTGGTAAACAAAGAAATGCAGAGCACCTCAACTTCTTTTGCAGTGGTGACTGGCTACTGTATTCCATTTCTCTTTACATCATTTACTAAGCATTCCATCTGACAATATGCTGACTTTACTTCCAATCAGCCTTAATAGTCACCTAAAACATTCTACAATTCAAAGCTATTCATTTTATTACGTACATACATACAAACATGTAAAACACCTTTATATTTACAAATTTCCCATTACCCATAAGAACTGAAATTAGGTTTGCGTGCCCAGCAAAAAGCTCCAATATACTCCCCAAACTTTTCTCATGACCATGAGAAAAGTTTGGAGAGTACATTTCATCATCATAGTTGGAAGGGACCTTAGAGGTCTTCTAATCCACCCTCTCTGCTCAAGCAGGAGACCCTATAACTGGGCTGTCAAACTTGCGGCCCACATCAGGACATGTCACATACTGGCCATGGCCATGCCCAGTTTAGCAAAGGGGGAAAAAAGTCCTGATATGTTATGTGATGCCACCATGATGACCTGAGTTTGACACTCCTGCCCTATACATTTTAGGCAAATGGTTTTCCAATCTTAAAAGCTTCCAGTACTGGAGCACCCATAACCCCCGAAGGGAAGCCATTCCACTGGTTGATTGTTTTCACTGTCAGGAAATTTCTCCTTGGTTTAGGTTGCTTCTCTCCTTGGTTAGTTAATTTCATTAGTTAAATACTACTCTTTTTTACAAATCCAAGTTGTGCCCTTCCATATGCTATGATAGACATGGGCCATAGATATTTATTTTGCTACCCATCATGGTTTTTTCAATTACATCTTTCATATAATACTTTTAATAATGTACAGAAAGTAAAATTAAGTTACTAGCCTTGATCATACCTGTGCCATATGCAGCATTCCTTGCTACCAATAAAGTCAATAATGGTTAGGTTGTTTGGGATTTTTTTGGCCACTATGCCAGAACTGCAACCTCAACCCAAACCCAGTGTTACTTCAAACATGCTTATGCTATCCTATGCAAATCAGGACCTCTAATCTAGCAACTGGTCTCCGACTGGTGTCGCTTAATGCCAGGTCCGTGGTACATAAGACTCCCCTCATTTATGACCTCATACAAGAGGGTAGAGCGGACCTGGCTTGCATTACGGAGACCTGGTTTTGCCATGAGGGGGGAGGTGTTCCCCTTAGTGAACTATGCCCACCAGGCTTCCGGGTGTTTCACCAGCCGAGAGCCCAGAGCAGGGGCGGTGGTGGCGGTGGTTATTAGGGAAAGTCTTGGACCTCAGGAGGTCACTGTGCCTCAGATAGGTGGATGTGAGTCCCTTTTTGTGAAATGGGGCCTTGGAGTTCAGGTGGGCCTTTTTGTTATGTACCTGTCTCCCTGCTACGTTTCATTGGCCCTGCTGGAGCTGATGGATGTGTTAGCTGGATTGGCGGTTGATTTCCCCAGGCTTATGATCCTGGGGGATTTCAATCTGCCTTCCATTGGCGAGACATCCAAGTCAGATCAGGAGTTCATGGCTTCCATGACGGCTATGGACCTAACTCCGTTAATTCAAGACCCCACCCATAATGCGGGACATACGCTTGACCTGATTTTTGTCTCTGGGCAGTGGATGAATGATCTAGAT